AAATTGATCCAAATTAGATCCTTTCCTTTTCAGGGTGCGCGTTTTGAGTCTAAGCCACACTTAAAATGGAATTGCTTTTGCTGACCAAATTTCACAAAAAATCTCTGGCATCTGCAGCTTGTGATCTCAAATTAGATGTTGAAGGATATTTGGAGGATATTTTAGTGTGTCGGTATTGTAGCTTTGCACCAGTAGTTTATCCAGATTTTCCTGTGCTGCATTTGTATTTTCTAACCTATATATCTTTTTACCTTCAGGATATCAGTCGGCAACCAGTGGAGCGCATGAGCTTCTGAACAGTTTCTTAAAGAAGGGAATGTCAATGAACCTAAACACTGTTAGTTTTCTTAGTAGGCCTCTGTATTTCTCTCAGCCTGGTCCAGCTGGTTGCCATGTTTTATTGAGAATTATGATTACACGAGAGCTTTAGTCCCAAAGACAGATATAGTTAGATGCTATAGATTGAAACACTCCTGCTCCTCTCTCCCCTGCCCACCTCTTGCCCCCACAAAAAACCCTCACAAACCAAGCCAAAATGATTGCTTTCTGCAGGGCAGCAGATGAGAAACTATCTGAGACAGGTGCAGAGTTACAGCCTTTTCTGTTTCAGGTTTTCCTTCTCACACCTTGTATCTTAGCATTTCTGTGATTCGTATGAATGACATTACTACAATTTCAAGTTGAGAGGACAAGGTGTGGGTGATGTACCAGTGCTATGCATCAGCAGAGGGCACTATGTGCCTATACATCTGTGTAACTCTGGATTAACATGCAGAATGACATCTTGGTGACGTTATCATCAGTTACTCCTTGGTCTAGACAGTTTAGCTGAGGGAATATCTGTGCTCATTCAGTGGTGTAGAGAATGCATCACACCATCTTGTCTCTTCCAATGAAATCTGGCTATATTTTTAAGGTGTTTATAAAACTGTGCTGTAGCTGTGCTATAAAAAAATGCATAGATCATTGGCACCAGATTTTCAGTTCACAGTACTGCATCCCACTCAGGTGCTTTTTGGGTACATAATGTTGTGGGAGCATGAAGTTTTCTTGTGTCTCCAAAAGCAGACTTTCTCCTGAGATCCCACTCTGCATTGGAATACTGATGATATTTCCTGGCACAGCATATCCTTTCTCAGCTAACCATTCACTCTCTTTCATGCTCCCAGGAGAAAGTGTGTGTAATCCAGTCCCTATGCCCTCCTAGCTGCTGGGGCTGATATTCATGGGGTGCTGATACTGGGTTGCCATGCTGAGGGTTTTTGTCTCCCCCCGGAGTAACACCCTTCTTAGGCTAGCTATTTGATCTGAGACACAGCTGATGTATGCAGAAAGTTTATTTCTGTACTAGTTACATTACGTGGGTCCAGTGTAGCTCGGACAAATGTTGGCTGATGGGGAACAGATGGATGAAAAGATCTATTGGGAATTGTAATATTTGTGACAAATACTGGATTTCTCATTTCTCTGTTTGTTCCTGAGATAGCCTCATTGGATGAATTTCCTCTCTATAGTTTCAACTTCTTTGGTATGCTTTAGGTCATACTGAAGCAACAGCCTCTGTAGCAGCAGGTAACCCATACAATAGCAGGTAGACCTCCAACTGCTGGTGCTGATGTTCTGATTTTGACAGTATTGCAAGCGGCATCTTGAAACAGTGTCTAAAAAATGTATGTGCCTGCATTAAATACCACTAAGCCAAAAAAAAAAATAAATTTTTGTTTCTGTGTAGAACCTACTCTTGCAGTTTCTTCTTGAGCAAACTTCTGATGAGTAGCTCCTGGTGTCTTGTCTGTGTAGGAAATAAGGATCAGGCCTTAGGTAATGTCTTAGGAGCTCTTGAAAGTAACTTTCACAGGAGACTCCCTCACTTTCATGATTGTTTTTATTTTTCCAGGTTGAAGTTTGTTTCTGTGCTTTGAGCCTTGTCGCCCCAGATTTATTCACCAGAGACATACCCAAGATTTCCCTTTCAGCAGTTCAAATGCAATGAAATAGAAGAATACTAAAACAAAGTTTTGTGTGTCTTAGCTGTGTGCTCATGAGGAAACATCACAGGGAATTCATAAGACTTGAGTTAACTCGGAGGGGATGAATCAGGATTGCCTCTGGCACAGCAGGAAGCTTAGAACAAAATCAATAGTTGGAATAACCCATTCTGATGCTGTCCTGGTTTTCTTGAGCACAGCATTATATGTTTTTCATAAATCTAAGTCTGGGAAATCCTAAGGACTTAAAACCAAACTGATATGCTCTGTCTTTAGAATACCTGCATAGTGTTTCTACTAGTGAAGGGTAGCTCAAATATTCAGGAGGCATGGTAAAACTTACTTCTTGCTGCCATAGAACTCAGTTAAGGCATTCTAATATGCCAGAAATGGCTAAAAGGTAATTACCAGCATGGTTCAGATGTTACTAGCTGGGACAGGATAGTAATAAGTCTGAGAGCTTTCGCTCCTTTCCTAGCCCTTTGGCAGCAGAGTGTGAAGGTGTGCCCCCAGTTCAAAGTAATTTAATGTTAAGAGATTCCATAACAATACCCGAGTATCCATGTTGGGACCAAATGGTTCTGATGAAACAAACTCTTTGAGTTCATCTTTATCTACAGTAATACGTTTTCCTGATTCCAATTTAATGTATTTTCATGTGGTTGAGCACAGGAGTTGTAGAAATATACTTTTGTTCCATGCTAAATGGAAAAACAAGTGAACAAACAAACAAAAAAACATGCACACCCAAAAAAAACCCCAAAACACCAAAGAAACAACAACAAAAAAATCCAACCAAAACAAAACAAAAAAACCAAACAGAACAAAACAAAAAAACCCCCAAACCATCCAACCAAAAATCTCACAAACAGACCAATGCTCCATTTTCTGGAATATTTGTGAATGTTTGCCATAATGTCCATTTTTAAATTGGAAATGCTAGGTTTTCAACCTTGGTACCTCTGGCTCTATAAGTGAGTGGAGATCTACTCTAAATGTGACAAAATTTGACTGAAAACTTCTAAAAATTTTGTTTTGCCGTTTGACGAATAATAATCTTTCCTCAAAAGTACTGCAAAATGAAATTGTTATTTTGCAGCTATTTCTTTGTATGTCTGTGTACTAAACAATGAAATCCTTTCCTCCCACACTTTGCTTTCTTCTGAACTTTCATGACCTTGGTGTTTCTGACAAGAATTCATCAGAGTCCTGCATCTGTACAAAGATTAGTTGAAAAACACAGTTTCTTCTTCATTTTTGCTAGCCTGTTGGGGTTTTTTTATAAACTAAATTTCTCTTATCCTTAGGCTTAATTTTTTGCTTTACTGTTTTCCAAGTATCTCAGAATTAGAAGTCCTCAAAGGTATTAACCAGCATTTTTCAAGGTTATATCACATTGTGTTATTTCAGACCAAGTCTTGAGTTTTTCAGGATCCCTTTGTGCCCTTTTTACTGTCTTTTGTGGTACTTGCAAACCCCTGCAGATTTGAATAATGTGCTCTCTGTCCCTGCTTTCACATTATTAATAGTCTAAATCAAATCATGCCTGATGCTTCTTTGTGTAAGTGATCTTTGGATACTTCTCAATAAGACACATTGGTGATGGTGTTGCCTCATTCTATATATTAAATCTTGATAGAGTATATCTTCTGAAGCTAGTGTAAATATTTTTTTTAGTGATGGATTCGTGTGCCGCTGCATCAAATATCTATTAAAAGTTAGTACTTCTGCCAATTGACATTCATACCGATGCAGTGCTCACTTGAATACATAATTTAATATAAGTTTTGACAAATCAACTGTGGCACACAATACAGCCCTTATTGTTTATCTGTTTGTTTTTCACAGTCCATTCTGGACTCCCATGAAATGAGTAACCAGATAATGCTAATGAGCATTTCTTTCTGAATTTTTAAAGCCATTATGCTGCCATCTATATAGTCAGCCAGGGAAATACCACGTAAATGAAATAACTCCACAAATTACCTGTCATCTTCCACTCGTAATTAAGCTAAAGTTTCTGAATATCTAGTAGTGGATATAAAAATCTAGCTATTAAATATATAACAATGTAATTAGGACTTTTATATTGGCCACACTATCACTCTCTGGAATTTATTGCCAGAGGTGCTGGATTGGAAGAATGAGTCACTATTAGTAAATTGTACTTTTTTTTTTTTTGTAAGGCTGGGGATTTTTAGGTTAGCTGAAACCATTTTTTCCAGGAAGGTCTCTTAGCCATGATTTTAGCGTATAGTAAAGCTCAACACATTTGCTTTTCTTTGATTTTGACAGGGGAAAAAAAAAACAAAAAACAAACTAATAAATACAATTAGTTCAGCCTTCATGAATATGTAGGAGAAAAAAAAAAAAAAGTGGCAAATGTTTCCTTTCTTTTCAGTAACAAATAGCCAGTTCTTCATCTCAGTTGAGCAGTGCTCTTCCATCTCATATTTTTGGTCTGATCTTAGTGACTCTACTGCAGGATATTAGTTTTGTTGCCCAAAATGCTCAATATAAAGCTTTGAAGACAAAAGGCAGTATCAGTTCTGCACACAACTGACTTAATTCAACTGTGTACCACACTGAAGTTACACATGCAGAACAGCAGGGTCACAGAAGGGTTGAGGTTGGACTGGACCTCTAGAGGTCAACCCCCCTGCTCAAACAGGGACACCTAGAGACCAGGACTGTGTTGAGGCAGGTTTTGAATAGGTCTAAGGCTGGAGACTCCGTAGTCTCTCTGGGCAACCTGTGTCAATGGTTAGTCACCCTCACGGTGAAGAAGTGTTTCCTGATGTTCAGAAGGAACCTCCTGTGTTTCAGTTTGTGCCCTGCAAAGTTTTTTGTGCACACAGATAAAACCTGTTGGAAGCTGTAACATGTACTGATTAAATCTGTGCTTTCTTCCAGTGAACACTTAATTATTTAGTTCAACTTCTTTCACATAGAAGCTGTGGTTTTGATTGTATTTAGTTTTTATATCTTGTTTGTTTGTTTTTCCTCTTATAGGGTAAGTCTTACCCCTTTAAAGGTACATTCCCTCCTACGTGGAATCCATTGGCCTACCTGGACTACAACAACCTATGGAGGACCATGGATGAAATGGGAAAGGAGGTATGGCATGAGGAATTGAAGCTGGTCAGCTCAGCTTTGTCTCCATGAGGAGCCAAGTGAGGATGGGACTAGGATGTAGATTGGCAAAGCTGCTCTAGTTCAAACAAACCTGGTGCTGGCAAGAGCAGCATCGTGCCATGTGTTTTGATATGCACTGATGGTCAGAGCACATGTCTAAGTGGCAAGCTCTTCTGAAGGCCATGCTGCTGAGACTGCAGTCATACCTTCATTTTTCTGTATATGTGAACATCAGGGTTTATGCATGTAATTTTTAGCAGTTTGCTTGGCAGTTGGGTTCTAAGAGGTTTGTAGACCTCAAATATATGCCCTTCTCCACTCTTGGATTCAACATGTCCATTCAAGTTTTTCATGTGTGTTTTCTGTTGAATGAACTACAAGGCCTCGAGAAGAAGTTGTTGTTGGTTGCTTAGATGAATGGAGAGGTATGGCATAACTCAGAGACATACTTTAGCACTGTACTTTCTTAACTCTAAAACTATTTTCTATTCCTATAGCAAAAAAACCCATGGACAACATAAAGCCAAAACAAGCAAACAACAAAAAAACTAAAACCTCTGTTAAGTTCACTGTGTTATCTGCCAGGAATTTGCAGTCTGAGTTACCACAAAGATTAATTTGTTTGTTGTTTCTTTCTTATGCCACTTACTCATTTGCTACTGAATGCTCTTTTATGTCTCCTTAGATTCCCAGTGAAGCCCCATGGAAAGCTCCACATGCTGAAGAATGGGATAAAATGACTATGCAAGATTTCATAGATAAAACTTGCTGGACAAAGTAAGAAACACTTTAGTATGAAACAAAATAGCTTGTATTTATATACCTTAGAGCTCCAACTAAGTGTTACTGCTTTACAGACAGGTATACCTACCACTGGAATAGAGCCTTGTTAAAGAAATGGGGTGAGAAGGTCTTGTCGTAATGGACCACAGCACTTGTCAGCACATACAGTAGATTCTGTTATTTCCATAAATTTTTAGACTAAAGATAAAAGGAAAACATATTTAGGGAGGGTTACTTCTGAAGAGATGGATAGTGCCTTCATCTCTTATGTGCACTTTTTCCTTTCTTTACTGTGTGTTTAACCTTTAAGAGAAAAATGCTCTGGCTACAGCAGGCTTTTGAATGAAATTTTTAATGGAACAACACACATTTATTCTGTGCTGGACCAGCTGATTTTACCAAAGTGCTATAAAAGTAGCATTTGTCTTGAAAAAGCACTAAATCACTTTAACCCATCATTCTATTGTTTAACTGCAGCACTGTATACCACAGAGGGAAACTGAAAATGCTTCCTGTTTTTATGTATACATCAAAGCAATTTTTCTTTTCTTGCCATTTAACAGCAGCTTGATTGATTTTTTTTTTTTTTTTTTGCACTGAAGAAAAAAAATAAAACCTACTAATTCTGCCTTGCTGTAAAGCAGATTGATTTCTACAGCAACCTCTTCAGAATTGCTAAGCACCCAGCACACGGCTGCCGGGAGCCTGCCTGAGCTGGGTGCAGAAGTCTGCTAGCACCCACTCAAGCTGGCACTGTCATCAACAGGGGCAAATTTAGGGCTTCAGCCAGCCTTTAGAGAACACTGTGATCATTATTAAGGGACAGTAGCCTCTTGTCCAAAAAATTTTCTTCTTCTCGTTATTTTAACAAGAGTGACAATTGCACGATAACATACCGAAAGCCTTTCTTGTTCATGTTACCTCTGTATTCAGTAAAACCAAAGAGAATTGTGTGGTGGTGCTTCTGCTGGCCATCTGAACCTCTGCTTTGGTGAGGAACTAAAGTTAGCAAAGCACCACATATTGCTAGTCATTCCATATCCAATAGCTCACGTGACTACAGTCATATTTTTTAAAAAAACTGATGGAATAAGATATGACATTTTACCTGCATGTTGGCGTAACTGTCAGCCTCCCTTAATTCCAAGATGCTTTTCTGATTTTATATGTGCATCTCAGCTTGATTTGCCCAGTTTGTTCAAGGTTTAGGTAACATGCCATAGCAACTTCCCACCCTGGAAGGTAATGATCCAGAAGGGTAGTCTTCTGCTATTTCTTCTCATTTAACAGACTGTAAAGATTTGCTTTTGACTAGAGTTGCATGCTGGAAATACCTTGAGTACTCTTGGTTGAAATCATACTGCCATTTCTAGGTAAAACACCAGGAGAAACTGGGGAATGATGAAAAGCAATCCAAGAAGGTGGCAGAAACTATGAGAATTTAACCATAATCTAATATCTTCTGCTTATGAAAGATTAATAAGTACACATACTAATTTTTTAAGTATGTTTCAGAGTTGATCATATGTGGCAGTACTTGTTCATACAGACAAAATTTGAAAAATATTTTCTGTATTATTTTTGGCAGTCAAGAATGATGCCAGAACTTCAGAAAATTACACCTGTATTTCAGGAAATGTATCAGCTTTTTACTTCAGTGGGATTTTGCATTTTTAGAAAAGACAGAAGATGCCTTTTTTTCTATGTAAATCTATGGCTGTTTGAAATAGTATGAGTGACACTGCACTTTTTTTTTTTTCTTTTTTTTATAAGTTTGAAGACTGGAAAAAGAAAAACAACTAAAAGTGGATTTTTGTACTGGTATTGGAAGTTATTGACTGCATGATGCCTGGCATATGAAATACCTGTAGAATCTCATTCCCTGTCAATCACAATGCAATTAGGCTGAATGTCTCCTGGTCCTGTCCACGTCCATTTAAACTCCTTCTCAGAATGAGGGCAGAGCAAGTGTTACCTTCTAACAGGAGGAATGTTTCCCTGAGCCTTACTTAATTCTTAGTGCACCCCAAAATCTTGAACATGTTTATACAGTAATCTTCCTTGGAGCTGTTGTGAAAGTACCAACTGGAGGACATAAAGCAGTCATCCTTTTTCAGACACAGGCCACTTCTACACACGTTTGTTGCCACTGGCTATCAGACCACTGTTTAAAATAAGGAGTTGAGGAATCAAAAGTATGCTTTTCCTTTTGTTGCCAGACCTTTGCATGTGCATATGCTGTCTCTTCACTTACAGCTTCCTACTTAGGTTTCTTCCCTTGTGTTCCAGCTGCAGCACCCTCCCTGAGCACAGTAAAGAAGCAGGCAGTGAGGAGATGCTGGCTAATCCAGAGATCATAGATCATAGTCTAGACAAGATCCTTAAAAGGAATTGATGGTTTCTTACTTTAACTGAAATTAAGGAATCCTTTGCCCACAGTAAAAGAAGAGGTTGCCAAAGAAAGTCTCTCCCCTGCTAAAGAACAGTCTTGTCACTTCCCCAGTTTTTAAACTAACTAACCTTTTTGTCTTTGTTGCAGTGCTGCCAAGAGTTTTGCAACTCTGTTTGTGAATGTGGATGTCACTTCTGAACCCCATGAGGTCTCTGCCCTTTGGTTTTTGTGGTACGTGAAGCAGTGTGGAGGGACAACAAGGATATTCTCAACAACCAATGGAGGACAGGTACTGTCAGCCATCACCTTTGGAGCAAGTGTGACAGGCCCTGTTTTAACTTCTATCTTTGGCCTCTTTACTTTAGTTCAGAGTGCCAGTTGCGACCTCCATGACCTTGTGCCAGCAGCACATTGATAACTAGTTCTAGTCGTTTAAACGTTAATGTGGATATTGCAAAACCAGTGTTGAAGAATATTCCTATGCTGAAGGCTTTGGTCCAGGGATCAGTAGATTTGTATCTGGCTTCTTTTTGGGCTGCTGGTTAGTACATGTACTTTGCTTATCCACACTGAAAAAAAAGTTTTATACATGCTTATTTCTGTTATGAGGCTGAAGCAAGCCTTATCACTTCAGAAGACCTTAATGGAGATGGCAATGATAGCTGCACAAGTGTGTAGAGTGCTTCAAATTGATACTGAAAATGAGAGTTGAGTTCCTAAAGATGCAGGCTTCCAAGGATTAAGACTGTATCAACCTGAAGAAAATGAACACCCCTGCTTAAGTATGATATTGCTCTGAAATGTTTGAAATCTGGTACATTAGTGATGCTTCTGCATTTCAAGAAAGTAAAGACTGTTAATGACCTTCCACTTGAGAAATGCAAATCTTACCAATTGTATTAGAAATAATAAGATTTTTTTTAAATGCAAATTATTGAGTCATAAATAAAAATACATTATGACATGCTAAGGTGCATAAATATGCATAGATAAGCAATAATTATAGATAAGGTAACTGTAAATACTTTAAATTTTTAATTGAATTCTGTATTATGTTAGAGGTGATTTTGTTTTAAATTACATTAGATTATATGCTGCAGGGGATGTCCTGGGGTGCATTAAGAAGAGTTGTGACCAGCAGGTTGAGGGAGGTTCTCCTCCCTCTCTACTCTGCCCTAGTGAGACCATATCTGGAGTACTGTGTCCAGTTCTGGGCTCCCCAGTTCAAGAGAACTAGTGGAGAGAGTCCAACAGAGGGCTATGAGGATGATGAGGGGACAGGAGCATTTCTCTTATGAGGAAAAGCTGAGAGACCTGGATCTGTTTTGCCTAGAGAAGAGAAGACCCAAGAAGAGATCTTATCAACATCTATAAATACATAAAAGGCAGGGCTCAAGAGGATGGGGCCAGTCTCTTTTCATTGGTGCTTAGTGACAGGACAAGGAGCAACAAACACAAACTGGAACACAAAGTTCCACCTAGCCATAAGGAGACACTTTCTTTAGTGTGCAGTGACAGCACTGGAACAGGCTGCCCAGAGAGCCTGTGGAGTCTCCTTCTCTAGAGACTTTCAAAACCTGCCTGGATGAATTCTTTTGCAAACTGCCCTAGATGAATCTGCTCTGGCAGGTATGTTGAACTAGTTGGTTTCCAGAGGTCCCTTCTAACCCCTACTGTTCTGTGATTTGTCTATTTTTATTGTGAGCTAATGTCACTTCTAATGCCTTGTTATTTATTACAAGGATCAGGGTTCTTCTGATACGCAGACCTCTGCAGGGATAAGTGGGAACTCAGAGAAAAGTTTAAAAGCTCGAGTACTTTTCAGAAGTCTTTCTGATTCACACAGGTCTGTGGAATCCCTTTGGAGACCACGTGAGAAAGGATTTTCTCATAAGGTTGTTGATACTTTAGTTTTGGCTGGTGGTTGAATATGGGAAGTACTTGAAGAGTTCAGGGAGAGAAAAAGTAATATGGATATGTTTTCCAGATGGGTTCCAAACTACCAAACCCAAAAATGTTTTGATAACAACAGAAGATTTGGGTTTCTTTTGAATGCCAAGCAAAATGTTTGTCATGATACATATTTCACAAGCACTGCTCTGCTGAGTAGTCTTTGCTGAGTTGTTTTCTGTGTTTCAGGAGAGGAAGTTTGTTGGGGGCTCTGGCCAGATCAGTGAGAAAATAATGGAGCGCTTGGGAGGCCGGGTGAAGCTGAGGAAGCCAGTGGTCCGCATCAGCCAGTCGTGTGAAAGTGTCGTAGTAGAAACCTTAGATCATGAATTATATGAGGTAATGAAACCCCTAACATTTGAGCAACCATTTGTGGTGCGATGGTTAGAAAACCTTTCTTTTCCTTTATGACTTTTTGAAAATCCTGTAGAAAAATATAGCTGAGATTTAAGTGATTATGACAAAGTCACACTTCCTGATTGTCCCGAAGTAATAGCAGTGATAGAGCTCTACAGTGATGCCAGAAAAGCAAAGTGCCTATGCAGACTCTTCCTTTGCTAGTGTCTATTCTTTGTGTTCAGTTACTTTCTGAATTAAAGAATAATTGTAAGGCAAACACAAAAATGTAACTTAGTAATAAACTTTCTGTGAAGAACATTGCAAGCTTTGCTTCCAAGGTGTAACAGTGTGGTCCAGATGGAAGGTAGGCCAATGGACTCTTATAACCTATTTTTTTTTAAGTGCTGGGGAAAAAGCAGCTAGCTGCCCATCATTCAAACAGATGGCTGTTTATATAATACTTGTTTGTTGTTTAACAAGCAGGATTTTATGAGTATTCTTATGCTAAATGCCAAAATTGCTTTGGAAGATATACCCTGTAGCCTCCCCAGATGTTTGCCAAGATCATTAGAGCAATATACTTAGGATGAAGTAGTGGAGAATGTATTTGTCTTATGTATAATTTCTTTTCCAGGGCAAATATGTGATCAGTGCCATTCCCCCAGCTCTTGGTTTGAAGATTCATTTCAACCCACCTTTGCCCCCACTGAGAAACCAGCTCATCAACCGAGTCCCCATGGGCTCAGTCATCAAGTGCATTGTGTACTATAAGGAAACTTTCTGGAGGAAGAAGGGTATTGCATTTTAATTGAAAGGAATAGTAGTGACAAAGAGAGGGAAGAGGGTACATGGTAATGGAGTAGACTGTGTTTAGAGAATGCTGGACCTTAAAAGGAGACTTTATAAGCTTCTATACCATTTTTGGCCTTCCCTTGTTTGAGAAACTTTAGAGGTTGGTTGGGAAAAGAAGGTGGATGTGAGAATAAAAAGGAGGAGGTAGGCATGAAGGGAGAACTCATGCCTCTTGCTTATTGCTTTTGATTGTTCTTTGTTGTCCTTTCTTTTCCTTCAATGGCACCTGGCTACAAGATGAGTCTCTCTCACTTGTACACAAAACTTGTACAAAGGTTAAGTGATCTGTGATGAAAAGAGGTTTTATCCCATCAATTATCAGGTGCAAAAATTCTGTCTTCTGGATGCACTGGGCAGGATTAGTTGAAGGTGTCTTCACATAGACATCTCCAGCTAGGGTAGTCATACTGGACTCTTGTTTACATGCTGAATACTTCCATTGTGATTCCTCATCTCTCTTTTAGAACTTAACAAATCTAAGACAAAGTGCAATGTAATAGTGCCCATTTCTCAGCATGGGTTATGATGAGTCTGCACCTGTGTTTGTCAACAATTGTAATCCACCCTTATCTTTGTGAATGGTTTTAAGACTTCTGGATCCTGGCATATTGTAGTTATTAGATTTGGGATGGATTGGCAAAAGATGACTCCCATTTCCTGATAGTTTGCATACTGTGCTTTGCTAACACCATTGTTCTTTGAAGAAGGATTAACCCTTCTTTTTAAGATCAATTGTGTTTTCAAAATAATGTATGAATATTTCTTATATCTGACATAAATGTCAGATACGGAAACAACTGTGACAGGGGTACTTAGAATCATAGAATCCTTTAG